AGCCAGTTGAGGTGGTTCGGGCACCTAGTAAGGATGCCACCTGGGCGCCTCCCTAGGGAGGTGTTCCAGGCACGTCCAGCTGGGAGGACACCGAGGGGTAGACCTAGGACCAGGTGGAGGGATTATATCTCTTCGCTGGCCTGGGAGCGCCTTGATCCCCCAGTCAGAGCTGGTTGATGTGGCCAGGGAAAGGAACGTTTGGGGCTCTCTGCTGGAACTGCTACTTCCGAGACCCGACCACGGATAAGCGGGAGAAGATGGATGGATGGATAGTCAGAAGATGTCATGCAGAATATCACTGCTCTCAGATCAAAAAGGTGGATTCATGTGCAGCCAAACGGGATTTATTCAATACTTCTACTCAAGAATGATATGATAATCTCCGCGCTACGGGTGCTCCGTGCATGCATGCAGTGACATGTAATATCCAAGGATTAGAGACTGTTGGATGCTGCTGTTTTGAGCATTGCAATATTTTCACTTTCATTATGTTATTTATTTATGATTATTTTTAGGATCAGCAAAGATTTGTTGTAAGTTTGTATAGGTGTTGCTACTATCTGCTTTTTTTTAGCGTGGTTCTACAGTCAGAGAGTTACAAGGGTCTGTAAATGCAATGAAAACAATTGGCCACAGCAAATCATTGATATACAGGTCGACTGCGAGGGAGTCTTTCAACCAGAAGGTTGTGGGTTCGACCCCAGCCCATGCAGTCAACATGTCGATGTGTCCTTGGGCAAGATACTTAACCCTGAGTTGCTCCCGATGGCATGGCCAACGGTGTGTGAATGTGTGTGAATGTTAGGTCCTAGAGTAAGATACACTGCTCTGTATGAATGGGGGTGAATGACATGTAGTATGTAAAGCGCTTTGAGGGATCGTAAAGACTGGATAAAGCGCTATATAAGTACATTACCATTTACCATTTATATTAAAAATGTAATTTTTACTTTTGAATACTTCATTACAAAGGATTTATTTAATAATTGAAGTGATATATGTGTACACAAAAATCATTAGTCAAAACAGGGCTACATTTGATTGAATTATAAAAGGTATATTTTGCAGATAAACCTATTAACCCCGCCCCCCAAAAAACGGCTCTTTTGAACGGCTCTCCAAAGGAACGGAGCCATAAGATCTGGCTCCCTTCAAAGAGCCATAATTCCCATCACTACCTGTCACACGTACTAGAGGGGACCCAGAATCAGACTCGGAATCAGCTGGTGAGCGTAACATTTGTTTATTAGAAAAGGAGAGCTGGGAGTGGAGGTTGGTTATGGCAGCAGTGGGAAACAGTTGTTCCAGGGTGGGTTGAGAGGCCTGGCTGGTCTTAAGGTTCATCCCAATTGATTATTTAGCCTCCTCCTTTCCCTCACTCGCGTCCCTTCCTTTCGTCTTACCTCCGTCCCCGTAAGACGCGAGCGAGACACACAAGGAAGAGACGCGAGGACAGAGGAGTCCTCAGGTATGAGTTGGGATGTCCTCGTTCACTCCAGCGTCACCATAAACAACGCCCTTTACTTCTTAGGCCTGTATTACGAAGCCGGATTTTCGCTTAGCGAGCTAACTTCAGGGAAAACTCTGGGTTTCCGGTCCTACGACGCCGGTTCTCTTCTTAGCGGGCTAGATCTCCATGGTAATTTATGCTGAACAGCTAGCCTGGTCCGGAGCAGGTTAGCACCGCCTGCTGACCAATCAGAGCTCAGTGTGCAGAGTTTAAAGCGATCAAGTCATATTACAGGATAAAGGAAATACAGAAAAACTGCCGTTGCAGGAAAGACGGCCGGCAAAAATCGACTGACTGTGTGAACGTGAAAATGAATTGAATATCACCTCCCATCTTCAGAGCAATCTGACTATTGTAACATTAGCGTTAAGAAAGCTTACTTAAATATCTGCCACAACATAAGTAACCGGATCAGAGTAACATTAAGTACAGTCCGCGGCACTGTGAGTGCAGACGTCTATGTGTGTCCCATTATCATTCATATCACATCACATCTACGTCTTCCGCGTAGTCTACACTGATGTATCCTCACTCTTGTCTCCTCTGGAAGCGTCCTCCCTCCTCTTTCCTCGGCTGCAGTCGAGAGAAAGAGAGAGAGAGACACACAGAAGAAACAAACACTTACAGGGGTTTCAGGGACGGGCAGGGACACTTCCATGTTTCTCTGGTCATTTACCATATCCATAATAAATATAGCATTTTAAGTCAAAGGGGTGATGAAGGCAAGATGACTTGTAGAGGGATGTTGTGGGCCTAAATTAGTTTGTAGTGTAGTTTCCAGCATTGTGAACCCTGAAATGTTGAGTGCCCCAAAGTTTTATGTTATAAATGTATAGTACGGGTCCCCAGATGTAGCAACTGTTGGATACTAACCTGCATATGTTGGGTCATTTGAACAATTAGCATAAATTACTTTAATGAAAATGAATGGCATTATAGCCTATGTAAACAATAGTAAAAAAATGGCTTGGCTGATTTGGACAATCTTTGAGTGATTTTGGAGGTTATTGATGATGCTGAATCAATTTCTGAGCATAACAGTTTTAACCTGAAAGTGGCCATATTTGTACTCTTGTGGACTGATTTTGACTACCATCTCTAGTGTTGCCACCATTGGATATAGAGAGCACGAGATGACAATTATTTTCTCTACTGTGGACAATTTGTACTTAAACAAATAGGCAATCTGTCCAATCCAACTGATCCAGAGCCAGAAATGGATTCAGCATCCTCAATAAGCCCCAAAATCACAAAGAAATGGTCTGTTTTCCACATAGGCTACAATGGTAATTCATGCTAATAAACACAACTTATTCTAATTGTGCAAATTGCCCAACATATGCAGGCAAGCAAAACCGGCAGTTTCTTTGTGCTGGAGACCTGTACTATACATTCTAACATAAAACTTTGGGGTACTCAACATTTCGGGTTCACAATAAGTGAGTCTAGGATCTGGCATATAGACTATTGTGGGATTTTCAACATAAATAAAGTTATCTTCTCCGTCAGGTCTCTCCTGGAAGGCTCCGACACCATCTCCATCGACACGGCCATGGTGTCCTCACAGGAATTCGGCTGCCTGCTGGACATGGTCTACACTGGCAAGCTGCCTCTGGGCAAACACAACGTGAGCCGCATCGTGGCGGCCGCTGACAGCTTGCAGATGTTCGACGTGGCTGTCGGCTTCAAAAACATCCTCACTAGTCTGGTAAACCAGCAAACTCCGGTCCATTCTACACACACCCCCAGTCTCCCGGTGATAAACCAAGTCCAGAGCATGAATACTGATGGTTCTGCTTCACCCAGCAAGGAGGACACGACTTCAGACAAGACGGAGAGAGAGAGTGAGAGTGAAGCTGCAGAGGAGCCGGCGTGTAAAAGAAGCTGTGTGCAGAACTCAGGTCCGTGTACGGCATGAATATACTGAGATACTTATTCATAATATCATATCAGTCCAATACAACTACTGTCAGAGCCATTTTACTTTAAAGGTGACCTATCATGCAAAATGCACTTTTGTACGTCTTGTATACATGAATATGTGTCCCCGGTGTTCCAGGGAACTCACCAAGTGTCAGAAAACACAACCCTCTCTATTTTCCTCCATACCCAAATCTCTTAAAAAGGTGCTGCAACGGATCTGATACAGACTGATCCAGATTTGAACACTTCTGTGACGTCACAGAAGTGGCGCTACCGCTATTGGGCCAACTCCACCAATCAGGAGGAGACAGCCACGGACATTGCCGTTCGAAAGCGCTGGAGACGCTTTAGTACATATGCCAGGCCTGTAGATGGTGCTGTTCTCACAGAATCAGCCCATGAAAAGACAGTGTTAAATTGAGCGAAATGAGGAATGGCTAAAATGCATGATCTGTTTGATATTTTGAAAA